TTTCTCAAATCCTCAAAGCTCCAATCCCTCCTCAGCCCACAGCTCCTCACCAGCCTCGGCTCAGAGCTGGTGTCGAAACCCTTGAATTCGTACGTAGTGTCGATGGTATTCCGGCTGCCATGGCCCTTCTTTGTCTTCTTCGACGTCGGCTCACTAATGATTTGCTCGTAGTTCCCAGACCAAGTTCTACTTGCACAACAAAATGTCACGCTGGGCTTTTGTTTGTGGCCTAAATGACCCCTCTCATTGATAGAGTCGGATCTTTTCAGGGTCAAGCAGTTGAAACTCCTAGCTTTATATATATATATATATATTATGAATGAGAGAATAATGGAGACTGAGGGTTTAATATAGCTTAGAGATGATGATCGGAACAATGGAAGCTGAGGGTTTAATATACCTTAAAGATGATGATCGGATCAACGGAGTCTGAGGGTTTAATATAGCTTAGAGATGATGATCGGAAAAATGGAGGCTGAGGGTTTAATATAGCTTAGAGGTGATGATCGGAAAAACGTGGTAACAGGTTGGAATTTGCCTGATATGTCTGTAATCTGTTGAATGGACAGCTTTGGGTATATTTATTTAGAACCAATATTTGATTTTTTTTCTAAATATAGCTGTCAAAGATTTAGGGTTTACAGTAATTGATCGATGAACAACAGACAAATTAACCAGTTTGTGTTAGAAATCAGTAGTGACCAAGGGATAATAATGATAAATTCATTAAGGGTCGAAGAAAAATAAAACTAGCATATTTTCCTTTCATCGAAGGGTAATTTTTTTTAATAATTTGGGATTTTGAGTAATTACAAGTAATATTAGTTTAGATTTTTTTTAATTATTGATAACACACATTAATATATATACGGGTCATGTAAAACAGTAACACTCCTTTTTGTCACTTAGATTACTTAATATATCATCAATGATAAATTTAAAAGATCATGAAGGAAAGCCGATGAAAGGTCAACCAATAGCTTATGATGATGGATTTGGGCTCATACCAAAAGGATGATACAGTCGGGCTTGTGCATGTGAAGAAAAGGCCTATAATGGATGGTGACAAGGTCGTTGGATGGCCATGGGTGATTTCAATGATGAGAAGGAAAGATCTTTTCATCCAAATTATTTGATTGAAGGTTTTAGGCATGCACTTGATGACTATGATTTATAGTACGTTGCTTAGTCGAAGCATCCTTTCACCTAGGTGAAAGGGCAAGGTATTGATCATTGAGTCTCAAAGAAGTTGGATAGGGCTATGGCTAATTCGAGCTTGTTTGATTTTTTTTCTAGTCTAGAGGTGAGAACCGTGGTTACTTCAATATTCGTCCTTGATGATGATTGATGGTGGTCGACAGTGACCAACTACAGTGACGAACAACTGCCAATGGCGAGACATTTTGATTAGATTTCTAAATTAAATTGATATTTTATCTTAAGTTTATGGATCAAATTAGTGTATTATCTAAAATTTGAAGTCAAATTAAAAATTAACTCATGTTACCAACCTGTCATATTATCAAACTAACGACATTTAATGTCTCAATAATCAAAATATTATATATTAATAATGTAAGAGACCAAACCAATAATTTTTTAATGAATAATAATAATAAATAAAATAAAAGTATAGATTATCTTATTTTATTTTACGTTTTGAAAATATAGTTACAAATATTATTTGATCACCTAACCTTATCTATCTTTAATCAACAAAACATCTATAAAGGATAACATATATTATTATGAGTTGCACAATCAATAATAATAATAATAATAATAATAATAATGATGATGATGGATAAAATAGTCAAACGTGGTAACAAAATGTGTATAAAGTTATAAACCGGCCTACGTAGGGTTTTCCAACCGAAAATTAAATGCATCCGTATCTCTTAATAACTTAGATAATGGAAATTGCAGGGGACTTGTCTTTAAAGTCAAATGAGTAGAATAACAGGAAGTTATTAATATTTCAGGTTCTCCTCATGCGGTTCTAACTATATCATAATTAATATCATCATTAATTAACAAACCGGCCTTTTATTTCTCAACCCCACCCTCATCCGGACACGCTGTCAAAGCCAATTTATAATTAACATTTATCAACTAATTAACTGCCAATAATTTTTTTTCTTTCTTTTATTAATCATTTTTTAACAAAATAAAGATTTCGGTTCTAAATTTGTAAAAGTATGTTCGAGTTTACAAAATAAATATTAAATTTAAATAGAGAAAGTCAAAGCAAATAGATTTATGTACTTTGGAGATTAATAGCCATTGAAAAATAACTGTCCACTATCGAAGACAATGACAAACGCAATGACCAATAGCTGATATTATTTACTTTTTTTTACATTAAATTTATTTTTTATTCGGTATTGAAGTATTATTTTTATTTAATTAAAAGTATTTGATATTATTTACAAAATAGCTCAGGCTACCAACGGGATTAGTTACAGTGATAAACAATTTGATATCGCTTAAGTAATATTTTAAATTTAAATATCTATATATGTAAAAAATCTATACCTATCAAATTATACATACAATATAAGTCGGTCCAGATTATTAAAGTGAAATGAAGGCTAAGAAGAAAACAGTTGAGGTAGACATTAGGTGAACTTTAGGTGCCGCCACTTGAAAACACAAAGCTCCTTTCACACTTATTCAGTTAAACTCATTAATGATTAGAGTCAACCCTTTCCCTTCCTTTCCATTCCCTTCGCTTCTACTCTTTAATTATTTATTTTTATCCCATCAAGAAACAAACCACCGTGGCTCAGTCTCATCTTTACATTACATTTATATTATTCATGAATATTCCATCATTTTATATTAAACCTGAAGTTCAATTTAATTTAATTTTTAAATAAAAATGAAAAATGTTTATATATAAATTCCAAAACTAATATATTATTTAAGAATATAGTACTCTTCTTCACCCCTCAATCCAGGTGATAATTATACCAAACGTATTCTCTACTGTTTGGATAAATTGACCGAAATAGTGATGGCCAAAGGATAAACAGATGGACACATATGATGGTGATGAGTGATTACAATCCAATAATGTAAACGGCATGTCAACTAAACTGTGATGCCAGCAGAAACCCCACCATTGAAAATGAAACCTCAAAATCATAGTTAGGGGTAAAACCAAATTACGATGATTAAGGATAGTTGTACCTGGAAATTTTAAATGATTATATATTTTAGTTTTTTTTTTAGATTTTCTATTGATAATATATTTTCAGCATCTAAAAATTTGTAAATTTGTTTCCCTTTAAAATGTTATAAATTTATTCTCTTAACATAAAATCATACGTTTATTCTTGATTATAATATTGAAATACGGTTGTATGGGATGGTTCCATGTACATAATGTTGTAGGGTCAAATGCATGTGCATATGAAGAATTATAAGATTAAGCGATCGAGTCGAGACAACAAGTTTTGGCCTAACAGAATATAACAATATGCTTTCTTTTTTACCTTTATTTTCATTATAGCTTAAAATAGAAAATGGGGCTGTACCAAGTACCAACTTACAATAAACTGTTTTTTATCTCTATTTTTTTATATAATATTTATATTAATCATATTCATCCTTACTAATTAATGGAAGAATATTAAATGTTTAAATATGTTTGATTTTACATATTTATGTATAAATACAAATAATATTACTGATTGAATTGAGCTCAATCAGTTTTTTTAATATATTTTTAGCATGTTTATTATTTATTATATAAAAGTTAACCAATACTAAATTTTATCACATTCACACTAGGTTATAAATGAACCCACCTTAAACTAACAAGGTTGTTTCGTTTTCGTTTGTTTTTTTAAAGGTTTGTGTTTGTGTTTGTATTCGTGTTCGATTCATGTTCGTGTTAGTTTATTTATTTTTGAATTTATTCGTGTTCTTTTACTTATTGTACGCAAACATGTTTGTTTAATGCTCACGGATGTGTTCATTTAGCATTCACGAATATGTTCGTTTAGCATTCATTTAATTTCGTTTAACGTTCGTTTTTTAATTTTATCATTTCATTTACAAGTTAAAGAAAAATGATAAAATTACATCATTAGTCGATAAACAAGCTTGTTCATAAACATAAATGAACGAGTCGATAAACGAGCTTGTTCAACATAAACGACCTGAATATACATTTGTTCGTATTCGTTTGTTTATTAAATGAACATAAAAAATTTGTTCATTTTTGTTTATTTAACTTAACGAATGAATATAAAAGAGCGTTATATAAATGATTTACGAATAATTTACCGAATGCTTTGTTCATTTACACCCCTAATTCACTCCATGGGTGAAAGAAAATATTTTATAAAAAAATATTTATCAAATTTTACTTAACAAATTATAAGTGATAAATGATTTCACATTTATATTTGTTAGCTTTGTGTTCAATCTTATCAATCTTAAGTTATAAATTATAATTTTTATTTAAAAAGTATATAAAAAATAAAAACTCATAAATATCATTAAAATATTATATATTTTATTTTTAAATAAAACAATTTAATATTTTTTATTAAATTATCGTTCGATTAATCAATAACATCATGCTCAATCAAATTGTTATATATAATATAGAAAAGAAAAAGGAAAAGAAAATATTTTCGTTTTTAATAAAAATGCCTAAATTATCCAAGCCTTCGAACCTCTAATTTAAAGAGTGCTAGATACTTAAAATTATTTAAATTTCTTTCTTCTTAAATATTATAACAATAGTTATTCTAATTAAACGAAAGTTTAACTTTTTAAACTAAATATTTGTTTATATTTAAAAATAAAAATTAATATTTGAAAATGACAACAATATACTTTTTTGAATTAATTTACAAGAAAACCCCTAAAACATCAAAATAAAATAAAAGGAAAAAAATGAAGTTATTTACTCGATCAGAAAAACTCACCGAAAAAGGAAAGGGACAAACTTTCAATTTAATCTGCACATACATTTTCCCTCGTGCTTTTTTTTCAAACGTCACACTAAGATCTATTACCGTGACCATCACGCGCTAACCTCTCGGCAACGGACGCTAGCTTTTTCAAGTTCAACTTGACAACGGTATCGGCAAACAGTCGAGTGTCTTCCACCGTATTACCTTCCGGGACATCGACGACGTAAGATTCCAAAACGACGGTCCATATCCTCCCGTTACGGTTGAAACCGTGAACCGTCGTCACCGACCGGTAATTCCTCAACCGATGTTCTCCTCCAATGATACTAAACCCGGTGACCCGTCGTTCATCGTCCAAAATATCGAGTCTCTCGGTGCTGGTATCAGCTGGTAGCCCGGAGATCACGTTCACAGCACGCGTGCATCCCACCGCCAAACGCGAGCCTTCTTCAACGGCGCAGCTTCTGATGAAATGTTTGTAGGTTTGGGGTTTGTCGAAACGGCGTACGATGGACCAAACAACGTCGTGTGGGGCGTCGATACGTTTGGCCAATAAGGAAGAACATCTTCCGGGAGATACTGAGTAGGTGTGGAACTGAGTGATGGAAGGGATTAACTCGTCGAACACGTCGTGGGTTATCCCGGGGGGAAGGGTGAGGTGGTGGGTGGTAGGTTCAGAGTCTGCCATGGAAGAGGGAAAAGGGAGAACAAAAAGAGAAAAAGGGAAGGGAAGATAAGGAGGAGGGGGGCTTATTAGGGAGTTATAAAGGAGACGATAATGGAGTTAAATGAGGGTGCGACAATGCGAATGAATTGGGGCAATCAGGGTGCTGAAGGCGACAGGTGGGTTGGGAATAATAGTGACATATTTAAAAATATATTTTTAAAATAAGTATATACATATAAAATTAAAAAAATTAAAATATTATTAAATTTATAAAATTTTAGAGAGATCAAAATCATATTGTTAATAGAAAACGCATGAAAAAAATCTAAAACTTTTAAAAAATGATTGTCTTCCTCGTTCTCTCAATCCATCCCTAGTCATACCTCCCGACATGATCAAAGTCTCTTCCTAATTTGCTCGTGTCTGGTCCTCCTGCCATGTACTGCTTCAGTGCGTCGTAGACGCCGAACAAAAGCAGAGCATTTCCTGGAGCCTCACGAACCAAGCCCTTTTATGCCACACTCTGAATGGCCACATCGATTGGCCACAAATACTTCAAAGCCGCTGTAAGCGAACCAGATTGTGCCGTAGCACTATGGGCTTATAACAACTAACTTAGCCAACTACTTGGGCTTATAACTTAATTACATACCATAGGACATATCAAAACGATCATGAATCATACTTAAACATCATTAAGGATCAGACTAAAACATGCCACCTATTTATTTTTTCTTTGTTAATATCATATGAATATAAGGTAATATCTATTTAAAGATTCTTAATTATTTAACAATAAACTCTCATATACCCTTACGTATGTAGTGCTTGAATCTAGAAGATAAATCTTTAAATAATGTGATTTTAAGAATCAAAACTCGATCACTTTAAACGATACATACATGTGAAATAAACCACACACTGGGAGTCTGGGAGACGAGTTCAGTGGGGGCGCAAAACAGTTATAAACGCAATATAGCATCTATATGAATCTTATAAATAAGCATCATATATTATGCTTCCTAAACTAAAAAAGATTTTGAACATATATTATCTTGTAATCACTCTAAACAACTTTTGTTCTCTTGTATGAAAATCTAAATTGGTCTTTGTGGAGAACACTTAGAAGGATCTAATCATGGGCTAAATATTGTGAGCAAAATCAAAAGAAAGGCTTTTACTCTCTCTTAAACTCATGGCAACAACAAGAAGAAAAGGGATGAAGATGATTTGACTCAGTTTTTCTTCTTTTATTATATTCCACCTAAAATATAATCAATGGTGAAGATCACTAGTCGGTGAAATCTAGTGAAGATCTAAGGCATGCATGTCTTATACTCACCCACTAAAGACTTTTATGGTGAAAATACTTTCTAAGAACCTTCATTTCTAAATTCTCTTGAATGAGTCATGCCTTCTTTCTAAATACACCCTGATTCCTTTGTAAACTAGCAAAGTAGTCATTGCCTGAATTTGACATACCAAAATTTAAAGACACTTATTAAAAGATCTTAAAGGTTCAAACTAGTCCAATATTGTTAGAATTTTTTAAGTAGAAAAGAAAATCAAAACGAGATTAATATAAAATAAGTCATGCATAAGAAAGGAAATTTAATGTGGCTCGAACTTGTTTATCTCCACGATTCCACGAATAAGAAAAAAATAATTCACTATAAATATAAAAATCACAAAAAGTACAAATAAATAAAATTTGTGTATCCTGAAACCTAGTATATATCTCAAACCTGATGCATCTCAAAATATTCTATCTACATCTACACAAAATTATCTCCGTAACATAGAACTTAAAAGTAATAATTGAGATCACAAAATTGATTATACATCTCTAAAATAATTCTCTCTAGTAATTCTAAAGGTTAAGAACTACTTTGTATTTATAAATAAAAATAAACTTGATTACTAAAACTACGTACTCTACAAGAATCCTTACCTAAACAAATTTCATCGTCAAAAATATTTTTCAATCACTAAAATTACATAAAATTTAACTAGTAGCAATTAAAATTTAATTCAATATATAACAAATATATTATTTTGATTAATACACAACATACTTTATGATAACGAAAATTATTTAATTCCCTATTCCAATCTGATTTTAGAGATCGAGATTTTGGGGCATTTATAGGACAACCCGTAATTCATACTACAAGATTAATAAAATTAATTAGTTTTACTTTGATAAGACATTTAGTGTTTCTATAAGAAAGCATGCAAACACATATTAATAATAAAACACTTAATATATATATCTAGAAATGGTTATGAATTGAAGAGATGCGTTTAATAATCACGCTCTCACAGTTGTTTATGTGAATTGAGTTTCTAAATTTTATAAATTTAAACGTGTTTAGGTATATAATATTTTTAATTTAAGAGTTTAAACATTAGTTATAAATAATATTATTTGATGAGAGACTGTAATCATTCTTATAGCCAGAGATAGATTGAGAGAGTGCGATTGTATTTTTGAAAATTTTAAATTATTTTATAATTTAAGTATTTTTTATATTTTTTTTGACGATATAATTTCTCATGTATGAGCTTTTCACGTAATATGTTAATGTTAAGTGCTATAAGAAAGCATGCAAACACATATTAATAACAAAACATTTAATATGTATCTCTAGAAATGGTAGTGAGTGAAGAAGTGCGTTTAATAAAACATGTTTATCTGTGATGCACATTTAATAAATTACGTATCTCCTTTTATTGATGTCGCATAAAATATACTTGTTGGTGGTCGGTTAATTTTTAGCAACGAAAAAACTTTGGTTTAATGGTTGAATAATTTATTATTAGTTTTAATTTTTGAAAGATTGTTTTTTAGAAGGTGGTTGACGGTAACATTTAAATGGAGGTAGTAATAAATGTTTTTCCCCTATTTAGATGGAGAGTTATAATCGATAATTATACGGCGGTTGGTTGACGTCTAGATCTTCTATTTGTATAAGAAAAGAGAGAGGGAAGGAATAGAAGTGATGAATTCAGGATCATTTTCTCAATCTAGATTGACGGGTTTTATAGTGATTCTTGATGTTTGTGTCAGACATAAGATTATATTTGTTACTTGTAGGTTGGTAGGCTCAATAGATATGACTATTTGATAGTAGATTTTGATTCTGACAATTCATGTGGGTCTGTCAGAGACCGTATCAAGAGGTCGTGACTTCTCTAAAGTTACAGAACTCCTAAGACTCTATGTCCGAGAATATTCTATTGAGACTTTAATTACGAAGGAGTTCACTAGAGATCTGATATAAAAAGACTATTATTGCAAAGGAGGTATATTAATATGATGTGCAAAGACTATTGTTATTAGGGTTTCAAATTACGGACCGAAAACGTGATAGCGATTGTGATATTGCGGTAGTACCGCCGTCTGAAACCGATTTTCATGATTTTTGTGGTGGGTAACAAATTCACACCCATAGCGGTATGTCGCGCCCACAATTTAATGGATAACGGTGGATTGTGCCGATTACGGGACAATGCACGTATAACTATATCATAATATTCTTTGCAATACAAACTATCTTCACCACATGCAACATAAAATGACACTGCATGCACTGCAAACGTCACCGGTCTTTCACTCAAATTCTGGAAAACTGATCATTCTTTCAGTTTACATTTACATATCGCATATTTATGAAATGAAAATCTTATATGAAGCATTGAAAATAATCATAATAATAAATCATACACGTAAAGTTGATAAAGATAAAAGCTTGGACACTCACTCTCTTTGATTTTTTCTACTTTTTCTCCATTAAGATGTTGTTGGTCGATGCCCTAGACGAAGCTCTAGATCAAGCTCTTCAATGGATGTTTCCCTGAACTTGATGCCACCGGTACTGTTACCATCATTGAGATTATGATCTGCCGACAATGTTGAAGGTTCAGTTTTGGTTGAGTAACGGAGGAAAGAAGAATTACTCAACCCAGGAAGCGTCACCGGAAATTGTATCGACGGCGCCGCTGTTGTTGCTGCAGCCATCAAGTTGACAGACGGATACGGTGACATAGAGATCGAAGTTGAAGGTGAATGGACCGAGAGAGATGGAAGGTGAATTGATGATGTTTGATTAATCGTTAATGCGTCTTTTGCAGGCTGCATTTGGTGGAGGCGAGCCCTGTCACGGCGGTGCACATTCATGTGACCCCCCAAGGGCTTGAGCTGAACGGAATTCCCTGGGGCAAAAAATACAAGTGTAAGTCATAACGTTACCTGTGTCCTCTGCAAAGGCACTAACGTCCAAGGAACCATGGTCAGCGTGTTGAGGTTGAGCCTTAGGGTTCCACATGCAAGAGCCGGGCGTTAAGTTAGTGTTAGGCGGATTCTGAAATTTGTTGAGATTGAACTAAGTTTTTGAAGTTGGTTGAATGAGAGAAGGCCAAGCTCAGCAGCCATGGCACATTTAAGACGGGTGATAGTGAGTAGATGAGGAATTACATGGCCAAAATGGGTTTCAATTAAGAGGGGAAGTTAGAGACTAAATAAAACCCCAACTTCATCTGTGTAGATTTATTCTACAATTATATATATATATTTGTTTGAATAATATGAGGTAATTATAAAGTAATATATATATATATATATATAAAAGAAAGATTTCAATTTGAAGAATTTGATGGAGAAATTTAACTAAAGTGATACAAAATATAAAAACTCATTTTTATTGATTTTCATATACTCCATAACACATACAAATATAAATTCTTAAAAAAAATATGTTTTTAAAAAATAAAATATTAAAGGCAATTGAATTCGATAAAACCCTTCTATTAATATGATTGATTAGGGATAAATATCTTACTTAAATTTGACGGATTCCAATTTTACTCAATTTTATGGGGTTAGATTTTTCTTCTTCGAAAATTTGAACTTAGATCGGAGTTTTTAAGGATGAGACTAGTTTTAGGTTTGAGGTGAAAACTGTCCAACCCAACTCGAGAATAGTAGTATAATTTATCTTTATATATCTAGAGATAATTGTTATAATACCCCTATTTCTATATTATTTCAATTAAATTCATATTTTACCTAATAAAAATAAATATTATATATGTGTGTATTGGCTCGACTCGGGTCGAATCAACGGTGAGT